TGAGGGCCCTCGAGATCGAGGCGTGTGGGGCGACACGGGGCACCGCACTGTAGGGGGAGGAAAGGTTTCCCTCCGCATCGATTGGGGCATGGCGACGACTCTGCCATTAGCGTCCAAATCACGTGTAGCTTCCAGCCGCGGCGGGAAAACAAAAACAACATCCAAACAAAAGAAAAACAAAACAAAGCCTGCATCCGCCCACCGCGGGGCCGCGGGCCGGCCACGGTTTGCGGGTAAAAGCTGTGAATGGTTTTCCATTCCCCATCGCGTGAGCTGCGGTCTGGTGGATCTAGAAGCAGGGGTATCACACACACACACACACACACACACACACACAGAGGCAATAAGCAGATCCCGTGGATGGTAGGCATGGCAAATAAGCACTACTTAGGCCAGCGGTTCCCAACCTTGGGGTCGCGAAAAAATTTCGAGGGGTCGCGGCGAGGTGGTTGGGGTCGCCTGGGGTCGCAGCTGTTTCCCGGCTGGCAGAATTGTTCAAAACGGTCGAAAATGCCTTTGAAAACTCGTGTTTTAGGCCGACTTTAAGCAGCAACTGCGTCTGATCCGAGACGGTATTTCGCCCTCCCTCAGCGGGCATTTGGTCTTTGGACCTTCCTTTAGCATGCCTTTGTTACGGAGTGCGATTATCGGCCTTAGTTTGGGAGCAGTATTGTCTCAAAGTGGATCAAAATGGCATTCAAAGGCATTTTTTACTGTTTTCATCAACTTTGAGACAATACTGCTCCCAAACTAAGGCCGATAATCGCACTCCATAACAAAGGCATGTTAAAGGAAGGTCTAAAGACCAAATGCCCGTTGAGGGAGGACGAAATACCGCCTCGGATCAGACGCAAAGGCCGCTTAAAGTCAGCCCAAAACACGATTTTTCAAAGACATTTGTGACCGTTTTGATCAACTTTGTGGCAATACTGCTCCCAAACTATGGCAGATAATCACACTCCGTAACAAAGGCATGCTAAAGGAAGGTCCAAAGACCAAATGCCCGTTGAGGGAGGACGAAATACCGCCTCGGATCCGACGCAGTGGCTGCTTAAAGTCGGCCCAAAACACGATTTTTAAAATACATTTGTGGCCGTTTTAATCAACTTTGCGGCAATACTGCTCCCAAACTAAGGTGGATTATGGCACTTTGTATCAAAGGCATGCTAAAGGAGGGGTCGCGTGGGGTCGCGAAATTTTTCCTGGGGGTCGCGGAAATTTTTTGTTACAAATTTGGCGTCGCGAACCGAAAAAGGTTGGGAACCGCTGACTTAGGCAAAAAGCACTTACTTTACCCCCTCCTTAGGGAATCCTGGATCCACGCCCGGCCGCGGTGTGAACGTCCGGTATTGGCGGTTCACAGAACCTCACTGCCTCGACCGTCGGCGCAACTTTTCGTGCCGCCTCTCCCTCACCGCGCGCCGCGGCGGTGTGGCGGCCAACGTCAGAACTGTCATCGAGCAAGGCACGGCGGCAGACTTCGCTCTGTCTCTCTCGCACCTATTCACAACGACCCTCGAGTGCGAGTGAGACAGAGCGATGAAAACCACGCCGCAATCGGCCACGCCTTGATCGCCCTGAGTCTTCAGTCTTCGGCTTTCGCCGACTTCCGCCCGGACTCGTCACCCAAGGCACCACACTGTGCGATGCGAGCAATCTGATTTTAATCGGCTCGCCCCTTTGGCCCTTTGTCGCCTCTCTCTCTCTCTCTCTCTCTCTCTCTCTCTCTCTCTCTCTCTCTCTCTCTCTCTCTTTGCGCTTGATCCAATTAGTACACCCACTCGGCGGCTGGCGCTGTTCCCCAAGGGGCTTGCTCGCTGCGCTACTACATCACCGAGGCCGTCATCGGCGTCATCAACATCATACGTGGACGCTCATCCGAATTGAATTACTGTGTGTCGCCGCGGGTCGCGCTTGCCGGATCACAGGCGCCCCGCCCCGCCCCGCCCCGCCCCGCCCCGCCGTCTCGCCTCGCGTGTTCCCCTCGACCGAGCACCGCACAATTTCTCATAGCCTCGCCGCCGCGACGCCGCGACGACCGGATCCGATGGGGGTACTTTCTGGAACCCATCAGGCGGAAGTACGACGAGAGGAGGAGCTTCTCGGAGCGGGAACACGGCAATGATGAGAATCTCGGCGACACTGCGAGCCGCTACACTAGAAACCCAACTATTAGTACTTGGTGCATACATATGCATACTTGGCAAGTACACACTTGCGTGACTCGAGTGAACTTGTGGGCCTGTACTTGGCCGAGTATGCATTTGGAGTAGAAACTGCGAGTAGACAGTTAGTATAGGTCTGTCTGTAAGTGAGCCTCGAATTATCTCAACGCGTTTCCGGCCCGCTTTTGTTGGTGTAGGCGCAGAGCGCTCCTTGTCTTGCGACACGCCGCGACGCCCCACTGTGGGATAAATATTCAAGCAGTCCGAGGCGGGCTTGCGTTGACCCGACCTGGCCGAGGTCCTGGCCGAGGTCCTGGCCGGCCGGCGAGGCGGTCGCCACTCGTTTGCTGTTGGAGAAATCAACACTTCTTCAAGTTTGCAAGTGTGGGGTAGATCACAGAGTTCCTGTCCCTTGGTAAACGTTTAGGAACTCCACACTGTTGTGGGGACAGCAAACTCTGGACTTCCTTGTGCGGATAAACTGAAAATTCCGCACCTCCGCAATGAAACGCCGCATTGTGTCGGGCCGCGGTGCGCAGTGGGCGGAGGGGCCAAAACTCTAGACGCGTTTTGAGCTCCGGAGTCGCTAAACTAAACGGGACTCGAATCGACGTGTGACACCACCAATGGATTCCTCGTTTGGAGAGCAATCCGTTGGTGGGGTCACACGTTCGTTTCGAGCCCTATTCAGCGACTCTGGAGCTCAAAACGCGTCCGGGACTTTGACCGCCTTCACCGGCTTCTGGCAGCGCGACGATACACTGCACCTGTCCGAAGGCCTCGAAGGGCCCGAAGGGCAGGCAGGCAGTACAGTGTGTGTGTGACACTGTGTGACACTCGCACACACATGAATAAAGATGTCGGCGCCGCACACACACACTTTACCGTCACGCTGCACAGGCTAGGCCTGAAAGGGCTCGAGCGCGACGGACGGCCAGCCGAGGTTTTGTTCGGAGGGGCCGTGCCGTGGCGTGGCGTGCCGTGGCGTGCCGTGCCGTGGCGTGCCGTGGCGTGCCGTGGCGTGCCGTGGCGTGCCGTGCCGTGCCGTGCCGTGCCGTGGCGTGCCGTGCCGTGCCGTGCCGTGGCGTGCCGTGGCGTGCCGTGGCGTGCCGTGGCGTGCCGTGGCGTGCCGTGGCGTGCCGTGGCGTGCCGTGGCGTGCCGTGGCGTGCCGTGCCGTGCCGTGCCGTGGCGTGCCGTGCCGTGCCGTGGCGTGCCGTGCCGTGCCGTGGCGTGGCGTGCCGTGCCGTGCCGTGGCGTGGCGTGCCGTGCCGTGCCGTGGCGTGCCGTGCCGTGCCGTGCCGTGGCGTGCCGTGCCGTGCCGTGGCGTGCCGTGCCGTGCCGTGCCGTGGCGTGCCGTGCCGTGCCGTGGCGTGCCGTGCCGTGCCGTGGCGTGCCGTGGCGTGCCGTCCCATGCCCGAGGCGGCGCGCCCGGTGCCTTGGGACTTGGGACTGCACATGAGATGTCCCGAAGAAGGCCAGTAGACTGATTCCGAGAGTCCGGGGCGTCGCTCTGGGGCGCCCCGTGTAGGTGCGAGAGAGACGGAGCGACGAAAGCGACTCTCTGTCTGCTAGGCCCCCATCCGTCGCTGCCGCCGCTGCCGCCATGCTGCTGCCCGGCCCGCGCGTCCGAGGCCCGCGCATGTAAACAAACCCGCGACCTGGAAAGCGGAAGGCCTCGCGGCCCGCGAACGTGGGCCCAGCAGACTGATTCCGAGAGTCGTTTTCGTCGCTCTGTCCCTCTCGCGCTCATGGCGCGCCCCGTGTAGGTGCGAGAGAGACAGAGCGACGACGCGGCGACTCTCGGAATCAGTCTGCAGGCTTTGTGTGCTCGCTGGTTTCCCTGGCCGTGGCAGGACGGCCGGGTGCTCTGCCCGCTCTGCCCCTTTGAAGTCCAAGTCCTGCTGCCTACACTGGGAGGGCTTCTCGACGGCGACTCTTGATTTTGGCTGCCAGCCTGCAGGCATCCTCACAGTCCGATCACCACAGGTCACAGGACACGGAACCCGCGGAGCGGAAGAACAACCACAGCAAAATCTCTCCATTCAAACTCAGGCTTTGTATGAGAATGTCGCGTAAACACTGGTAAAACTGGAGCCTAGTCGTGCCCTTCATTCAAGCATGCAAGGACGCTTGAAGACTTACGCTTGAAGCCAAGCGCGGAGAAGAAATCCTACCATGCACTTAGATGGGCGGAACGAAGAGCTAAGCTCGAAGTGGAGCGCAGCGACCACTGCGCTTCAAGACAGGCCGGCCTGCAACCAGTGTGCGTGCAACACGCAGGCGGTCGGTGCGGAAAAGGAAAGGAAGTCTCACCCACGAATTTGGTGATCGTCGTCCGCTTTGACTGGGCCACCCTAGAGAGTCCTAGCTGTCTGCGTTGCACCAGCAGACTGCTTCCGACAGTCGTTTCCGTCCCTCTCGCACCTGCAAGGGTCGCCCCGCGAGCCTGCGAGAGCGAGAGAGACAGAGCTGTGCCGAGTCAGCGAAGCAAGACGCACTGTTTTGTTTTTGTGGCGGAATGAGGTGGACTTGCGCCGCGCGTCTACAGATCGCGCCACTGGCACCGCGCTGCAGGAGGGGGGGGGGGGGGCAGCGACGGGAAACGCTGCGCTCGGCTCCGGCTCGGCTCAGGACTCGGCCGCGCCGCTGGCAGCCGCTGCGCGGGCCCGGCTCGGCTCGGCTCGGCTCGGCTCGGCTCGGCTCGGCTCGGCTCCGGCCGGCGGCGCGCGGCGTGCTGCTCGACTCGTCAGCCGCAGTCCCGTGCTGGCAGCCGAGGGGCGAACCTCGTGCCGTGCGCGCCGACCACGCGACGCGCTGCGCCCCGCCGACGCGAAGTGGAGCTCGCGGCCGAACGCGGCTTGGGCTTCCAGTGCAGTGCCATGGTGCGCCGAGTGCCCGCGACGCCCAGCGCCCCGGGCCGCCACTGCGCCTTCTGTCGCGACACCGTGGATTAACCCGCCTGTGGATAACCGTGCTGTGCGTGCGTGTGTGAGTGTGTGTGTGTGTGTCGGGGAAGTGGTTGCTGCTCCCTTGATAACGGGGCCTCCCCTGATTGATAAGGATTAGTGTTGTGTGTGCCTCAAGACCAAGTGCGTGATTGCCGTGGGAGGAGCCCGGCGTGGAAGTGGTGCAGTGCGTGAATTTGAGTGGTTCGAGTGGTGTTGCCGGGCCTGAGACCGCCAGAGCGGGTCGCTAACGGATTTTTACAGCAAGCCGGCCTTCCGTCATCATGGTGGATACCAACAGCATCATCGAGGGGACCGTCAAGTTCCGGGACGGCAAGAAGGTACGTGCACTTTGTTTCTCCACCTCTTTGGCTTCTGCACCGCTTCGCAGTGGGCCAGAAGACCGGCGGAGGCGGTCGAGATCTCGGACGCGTCTTGAGCCCCAGAGTCGCTAAACAGAGCTCGAATCGAACGTGTGACCCCACCAATGGATTGCTCTCCGAACGAGCAATCCATTGGTGGGGTCACTTGCTTGATTCGAGCCCTGTTAAGCGACTCGTGAGCTCAAAACGCGTTAAAGACTTTTGGCCGCCTCCACCGGTCTTCTAGCCCACTGTGTGCTTACTCGTCGTTGTTGCATGCTAAACGACGAGAGTTGCTCCATCGCTCTGTCTCTGTTAGTTGCACTCGCAGGGCTGAGGGTGCGAGAGAGGCAGACCGCTCTTCTGCACAGCTCGCCAGACGGGTACTTTCGTTGTGCGAGGTTCGGGCGGGGAATGGCCAATGGGCCGTGATCTTCATCTGGTTCTCAAAGCGCGAGACGCACGGGCTGGCCGTAATGAGACGCGACAGGGGAGAAGAAACCAGTCTGCACGGACAGGTACGCGCAGCCACGCGGCGCTAACTCGCGGTGCATCTTTCTCTCTCTCTCTCTCTCTCTCTCTCTCTCTTATTATTAGGCGGCAACATTGACTTATTACCATATCGCGGCTGCCAGGAGCGCACCGGGCCTGCCGCTCCGCCGCGGTCGAGACGGCCAGCCGAGACACCGCGCGCGTCGCTTCCCCGGCGGATTTATCAAAAGTAAGATTAATATAAAGCTTGGTCCCGCACAATAGGGCCGTCATCGAATCTATGAGACCCGGGAGGAGCGAAGGCTGCGGACTGAGCCGTCGCTCTGTCTCTCTCGCACTCGCGGGGCGCCCCGCATGCGAGTGAGAGAGACAGAGACGACTCTCGGAATCAGTCCCACTGGGGAGACGGCGACGTCTTGCCGGCTTGCTTGCCAGAAGGGGAATATTATAAGAATAGAACTGTTTTCGGTAGGCAACCAAAACAAGCCCCGCGCAGTGAGCGTCCTCGGGCCGGGCCGCCTCGGCCCCAAGCATTCATTCTGCCCGGCCGATCGGTTACGCTGGGGGGCAAGGGGAGGGGGGGCTGGCAGGTATACGCAGCATGTTGCTCCAGAATTCACGGAAAGTCTGCCTCCTTCCCGCCACGCCAGCCAGCCACGCCTTGCGGCCAGCTGGGTTGCCGTCTCCACTCAGTTGACGTCGTCGTCTCTCGCGACTGTTTCTGCCAGTTGGATACACTGGCAAATGTGTGTACAGATGATGCACCACTGTGGCCTTGCAAAAAGCCCTACTTTACCCTCCCACCACGTTGGCTGAATTCTAGGGCCGCGCCCGCAGTGTCTATGCCAATGCTTTTACTCCGTGTCCGGCTGGCCTAGGTTTGACGAAGGTGGGGCCTATCTTTTTATCTGTCTGTCTGTCTGTCTGTCTGTCTCTGGACAGGGGAACGATGCCCCGGTGGATTTCATCGATTTCAAAACGGTCTCCGTGCCGACGGGCTCTGTACTTACACGATGACAATCAATTCGCGCTGTTTTCCTCGCCGGAACTGCCCCCCCCCCCGGGGGGAGTTGGAGGGGAGGGGTCCTCGGGGTGACTTGCCGCACCACGTATATATAATCCCCAAGTTTCGTTTTCACCTCGCGCTTTTCAGAGTGGGTGCCTGGCAGTACGTGCGACTTCACACTTTGCTGGGAATTGTTTCTTCTCACTGCCACACTTGGGAAACACCGCAGTGTCTATGCCAATGCTTTACTCCGTGTCCGGCTGGCCTAGGTTTGACGAAGGTGGGGCCTATCTTTTTATCTGTCTGTCTGTCTGTCTGTCTGTCTCTGGACAGGGGAACGATGCCCCGGTGGGATTTCATCGATTTCAAAACGGTCTCCGTGCCGACGGGCTATCTGTACTTACACCGATTGACAATCAATTCCGCGCGTGTTATTCCTCGCCGGAACTGCCCCCCCCCCCCCCCCGGGGGGGGGGGAGTTGGAGGGGAGGGGGTCCTCGGGGGTGACTTGCCGCACCACGTATATATAATCCCCAAGTTTCGTTTTCACCTCGCGCTTATCAAGAGGGGTGTGCGCTGGCAGTACGTGCGACTTCACACTTTGCTGGGAATTGTTTCTTTCTCACTGCCAACTTAGGGAAACACGCCGGCGTGCCCGCTAGTGTAGCGTGCGTGTGGAGGGATTGTTGCTCGAGTCTGGAGAGCCTGGAGTTGCCGTGGAGTTGCCCGGTCAGATTCTCGGTCACAATGGAAGGTTGGTGGCTCCTGAACTGAAAGGTCCGGGAAGCTGGAGGGGGAGGAGGGGCAGAGGAACGCCTCTGGCCCGTCTTCAATCGGCATAGCTGTGTGTGTGTGTGAGCGAGTGAGTGAGTGAAATACTCTGCGTGACGCGAAAGCCCGGTCGCTGTGCGCGCTGTGCTGCGCTGTGCGCCCCGCTGCCCCCGATAGGTGGCGTAAGTGCACTCGCGTGCTCGCGGTACCGGTGGCGTCATTCGCGAGGCGCCACGATTCGTTCGCACCTGTTCAAAGACACGACGACACGGCCACGCGTGGCGCCGAGCAAAAAGAAAAAAAAGTAATCAAGCAAAAGAGAGGGAACAAAAAAGGATAGTGGAAAAGAAAAAGGTAATTCTGTTTTTCACCTGTTTAGGTCGGCCGCCCTATCTCAACATAGCACGGGCTGCGATAGGGCTCTGATTTGTTTCCGGTTCCTGGAACGCGCCGCCCGATATAGTGCCAGGTGCATCGTGTGGGAAGTGTACTGTGTGTGTCTGTGTGTGTGTGCATGTGGGGCGTGTGGGCTCGATGGCCTGCAAGGGTTTATGCAGAACGTCATCATCGTGGACGCTTTACAGTGATCGTTCTGGGGTGATCCATGTGCAGGGTGTGAGCCACACGGGGCATAGGGCTGTAGCGTACCAGAATGTAACTCGCGTTTCTCGTTTGTGGATTGCCTATTTTCACGCATGTTCTGCTTCCGCTGCCTTGTCTTTTATTTCGCTGAATGTTGTCTTGGAACTTACAATGCGAGTGAAAAAGTGACGTGTGTCCTGACGGCCTGTCGTTTGTTGCAGTGGAAGTGGCGGTGGTGTGTCATGAGGAAACTGTCGCCAGTAGCAGGTGAGTTTGGAGGACTGCCCCGCGCCGACCCGCGCAGGTGGCTGTATCGTCTGGCCAAGCCAGCCCTCTTGGAGTGACTTCACCACAACTCGACGACACGAGCCGGGAAAGGCTCTTCGGCGGAGACACTCTCGAGCGAGCTCTCGAAGCCCCTGTCCAGTCACTGTGAAACCGAGTGTGGAGATGTCCACTCTTGAAATGTGGGGGTGGAATTTTCGGTGTCCGCACGTGGGAGTGCAGAGTTGGCAGACTCCACACTTCAAGTGTGGAGTTCTCCACATTTGCACCTGTGCCAACTCCGCGCCAAGAAGTGTAGAGTTTGTGCACGCTTGGTGTGACAGTGCTGTCCTGTTCCCGTTCAGTCGATCGGGCGAATGGACCCGTCCCTCTAAAATGCTCTTTTGCGTTTAAAATTAGGGGCCGTCAAAGCCGGTGCTGGCGTGGGTGTGCCGGTTCGCACGGGCCACGCTTGATCGGCCATACAGACAATAACGGAGCATCCAGGCAGCCTCGCCCTGCCTGCAGCGTGCGTGCAGCGTGCGTGCAGTCTGCGTGCAGTCTGCGTGCAGCGTGTTAGGCGTAGCGTGCGCTCTGGTCCCGTTCGGGAACGCGTGCCTATAATATGCATGCACACCCGCCCGGCATTGCTCTCTCTCTCTCTCTCTCTCTCTCTCTCTCTCTCTCTCTCTCTCTCTCTCTCTCTCTCTCTCTCCACCGGCGCCCCATTTCTTGGTTTTCATCGGCCCGGCTCAGACTTACGACTCTGCGGCCCCGGCCGTATAGGGCCTAACTGACCGTTGCGGGTCGGCCGTTCTTTCTTTAGGACTGGCAAAATTCGCAAGCTGGCCGAAGCCACAGCGCCGCGCGGCGCCGCGCCCAGGGCATAAACTGGCCGGAGAAGTCTGCCGCAGCGGCCGCAGCCCGCCTGATTCCAGAGGACCGCCGCTCTGCCTCTCTCGCACTCATCGGGGTGGCCCGTGAGTGCGAGGGAGACAGAACGATGGTCAGGCTTCCAATTTATCGTCTGTGCGCCAGGGCTGCCAACGCCACGCCACACCAACGCCACACCCGCGCGCCGCTCCACTACACCCTTCGATCTTCGCACTCAAAGCTTGCGAGGAATGCCCTCCCGTCTTAAACGAATTTCTTCCCAGACCAGCAGAAAACTTAAACTGATACGCAACAACGAATTATTTTACTCGTAGAACAAGTTCGTAAGGCTTGCAAACGCATTTGTCGCAGCTTGCAATCATTTTTCTTTGCAGAATGTCATGCATGCAGACGGCCTAACACAAAAATTTCTTTAAATTGCGAAGTAAACACCATCGCACTTTGCAGAGAATGTATTCCTCGGAAGGTTTATTTTTTGTGAGTGCGGCCTCTCTCGGCCGTCGGAAAGAGTTCAGGGGACTTTCGATCTTCGTCCTTTAGCGGAGGAAATGACAGAGGTCTTGGCGGTCGCGCTGTGCGCTGAGGGAGCTAGAGAGAGAGAGAGAGAGAGAGAGAGAGAGAGAGGGCACCCTTTGGCCCGCATGCCTTGTCATCTCACTCGTGTCTCCCTTTTCCAACTTCCCGTAGAGCGCTGTTGTAGCACAGCATAGGACAGCGTAGCGCCCCGCGGTTCTTTGCTGCTCTCTCTCTCACACACACACACACACACACACACACACACACACACACACACACACACACACACACCACTTACGTGTCGCCGCCCCTCTCTCTCCCTCTTTTCTTTTTCCGTAATGACAATGATGACGTCCCCCGACACTGTCGCGTTGCGTGTGCGAGTGAGATGACTTACTCCGTCATTAGGGCACAGTTCCGCTCCGCGCACGCGCACCCGCACACACACGCGCGTGTGCGACCACATTTCCATACCTGGCGCGTCACTTTTAGGTAATGGACCACCGGTGGGCGATTTCCATAATTTGTCCCCCCGAACCATTAATCTGCTCAAACAAACAGACCCCGGGGGGAGGGGGTTGAAATAGGTACTATACGTATCTGGTATGGTGCCGATTGGAATTTCAAATAGCCGGAGTGGCCGGGCTGCCGCGCCGCCGAGCCCTTTCCGTCCAACATTGACCCCCCCCCCCTCTCCGTATGGCTTCATAAAAGGGGGAGGCGTCGGACCGATGAGTCCGACAGTCGTGACGCAATCTTATCTGGAGTGACGGACCGTGTGACGTGTGGACTGGCACACTGTGTGTCTGCGTGTGTGTGTGTTGTATCTCGGCTAATAGGCTTGCCGTATGTCGCTTACTTCATTAGGCTTGAATGAGCTGTTGTTTCGTTCCTCGTCGGCGAAGGTCGGGGCGGCCTGCCCGGCCTGCCCGCATGGCCTTCCCTCTCTCTCCCTCCTCGATTCCTTTTTATTCGGTCCGCACGACACTGGCTAATCGGGGCATCTCGTCGACGCCCCCTCCGTTTCGGACGCCACGCACCCCAGCGCCGCCCCGCGCCGCCCCGCGCCGCCCCGCCCGAGCAGCCAGCCATCCCGGACAGCCGATTCCGAACAGTGCGTCGCTCTCTCGCTCTCTCACCTCCAAGGAATGACCCGCGGGTGCGACAGAGACTTACAGCGGCGACGCAAGCACATTTGAAATCATCCTCGTGTAAGGACGCCTGCGTCTTATCTGATGATTGCTGCCGCGAACTTCACGCGCAGCCCCGCCCCGCCCCGCCCCGCCCCGCCAAGGGACGGGAAGGGAATTAATTGGAACGGAAACCCGAAACGGGTTGAACGCGCCGGGCTAATTTGCGTCCATGTCGCCAAGCGCTTGCAGCAATCCAGTGTGCCTCCCCTTCCCCGGACCCGCGCGTGCGTCGCGTCGGCCTGGTCGGCCTCTCGCCTTCAATTTCAATTCATCCCCGGAATGTGAATGTGTTGTTGAACCCTTCGCCCCGCCGTCTGCTGCGCTCTGTGTGCATTATTGCGATTGCAATTATTTTCATTGGCACCCTCGTTAGCCAGCCAGGCGGCTACACCGGAGTACTATACTAGCGCGCGGCAAGTGTATGGGGGTGTCGTCAGTCGGTTCATACTGTTTAGCCAGATTACTTTTTGATGGATTAAACTGCAATTGAGAGCTGGCGAGTTGTTGGCGGCCCTACTGGTCCGAAAGCACGGGTCCGTAGACAGACACACACTCAGACAAACAGACACTGTTAAAAAAAAAGTCTGAAATTTCAGACCAAATTGGTAAGAAGTTATTAACAGACTTGAGGTCTGAAAATTCAGACCATTTAGATGGTCTGAAAATTCAGAACTCGAGAGTCTTACATTTAAGAGTTTGGTGGTCTGAAAATTCAGTCCTGTACGAAGATTGTGAACTTTAAGGTTCGTGACATGTTCAATATGACATAGAAAGAATCTCAGGTGTGTGTGAACCTCCAGAGAGGACAACATTGAGTAAAAATTGTGATGAGGAAGAAGGTCCTCTGTTCTTTTCCCTGACTCTCGAGAGGCCGGTCTGTGGCACCCAAGGAAATGGCGACACGGAGCCACCCGCGAGAGGTAAATTAGAATGTGGATTGTTCAACTTCCACCCATATTACGGACATAAATCTTGCAGCAGAGAATGGTTCTCATATGACCGATTAAGTCCTGTCCATTTGGAACTTTTCAACTGATATATTTTCACATTAGAAGCCTTTTACACAGAAGTAGGTATGTTCCACAACATGCGCGCCATCTAGCGGACAAACGAAATCTTGGGTTGGTCTGAATTTTCAGACTAAACCATCTAAATTTTCAGACTGCGCTGGTCTGAATTCAGGTTCTGAGACGATCAGGTCGCAATTTTCATACCGGAAGGCAAAATTTTCAGACAAGCAGTCTGAAACAAGTCTGAAAAATAGATTCAGACCACCAAGTCTGACAAAAGTGGTCTGAATTTTCAGATTTTTTTTAACAGTGGACACAAAAATGTTGACATGGTTTATTTCGTGTTCTACGGCAATATAATTGTCCGCGGCACCGCGGCGCTTGGCGGATCGTAAAGTCTCCCAACGGAACGGCGGACGAGTCTGTCCCTCGAAGTGCCACGAAGTGCCTGCATCCTGTCTGCAGCCACTGCCGCCACTGCAGCGCCGCCGTCAACAGGGTTTTATTCTCCGGAAAGGGAGGCAGTCAGCCGCGGCAAAAACTGCCGCGGCGTTTGGGGAGCAGTTCCCATTTTTCCGGGAGGAAGGTGCGAGTTTTTGGTGCAAGGGTGCCAGTGCATCTCGTGTATTGAGTCTCAAGATGCGGTGCAGGAGGCGCGCAGCCTTGTGTTTACCTCGCTGGCCCCTCCTGGCGGCCTCGGCCCCTCCCCCAGCTGCCGAGGGGCGAGGCCGTGCGGCCGCCCTGGCCACTGTATGCCCACTGCTGGCCGGCATCTGGCCACCCTAGCCGAGGGGGAGCAACATAAAGTGCAGTTATATTCGAGGCTGGAGCAAGAAAGCAAGAGGCCCGCCGCGGAGTGGAGGGGGGGGGGGAGGCTGTGCACAAGAAAGACTCAAAGACTCTTCGGCACAACAGGCCGAGGGGACAGCCAGGCAGTAAAAGCGATTCGCGCTCACGGTGTGCAGCACACTCATTCCGACGCCCTGTCTCTCTCGCACCTACACGGGGCGCGCCGTGAGTGCGAGAGAGACAGAAGATGGATTTGCATGCGCCGATTGGTGTGGAAGCCAGGTCGTTTTCGTTGTTTTTGTCGCCGCTTTCTCCGCATCGCTTCGCACCGCTTCGACCGAGCGAGTGGCGCGTCATGGTCTCACCGATCGCCACCGTTTGATTGGGTACTCTGGACCAAACATGCGGCGGCAGTACACTGGCGGCAAAGAGAAATTAATCACCTGGAGATAGCATGGCGGCGTCCCTTCCCCCCCTCGGAACGGACCCCGAGGGGGCAAGGGGGGTGGGGGGCGAAAAGGGTCGGGACTCGATGAATGGCAGTCTCCAAATATTGCCCCCCTCCCCGTCCCTCGCGTCCCTTCCCGGTCCCTCGCCCCTC